AATAAACATTAAAAGAAAAAATACATGGATAAAAGTTAAAAGTTACAGTGCAGTTTAAGATGTGAATAGTTCAATTAAAAGCAGCGGCAAAAAGAAAAGTCTTCAGCCTGGATTTAAAAGTAGTCTGAGTTGCAGCGGACCTGCAGGTTTCTGGGAGTTTGTTCCAGATATTTGGAGCATAATAACTGAACTTCTCCATGTTTAGTTCTGACTCTGGGGACAGAAAGCTGACCAGTCCCTGAAGACCTGAGAGATCTGGATGGTTCATAATTTAGCAGCAGGTCAGACATGTATTTTGGGCCTAAACCATTCAAAGCTTTATAAACCAGCAACAGTATTTTGAAATCTATTCTTTGACACACAGGAAGCCAGTGTAAAGACTTCAGAACAGGAGTGATCCACTTTCTTAGTGTCAGTGAGGAACCAGTGTAAAGACTTCAGAACAGGAGTGATCCACTTTCTTAGTGTCAGTGAGGAACCAGTGTAAAGACTTCAGAACAGGAGTGATCCACTTTCTTAGTGTCAGTGAGGAACCAGTGTAAAGACTTCAGAACAGGACTGATGTGATCCACTTTCTTAGTGTCAGAGAGGAACCAGTGTAAAGACTTCAGAACAGGAGTGATGTGATCCACTTTCTTAGTGTCAGTAAGGAACCAGTGTAAGGACTTCAGAACAGGAGTGATCCACTTTCTTAGTGTTAGTGAGGAACCAGTGTAAAGACTTCAGAACAGGACTGATCCACTTTCTTAGTGTTAGTGAGGAACCAGTGTAAAGACTTCAGAACAGGACTGATCCACTTTCTTAGTGTTAGTGAGGAACCAGTGTAAAGACTTCAGAACTGGACTGATCCACTTTCTTAGTGTTAGTGAGGAACCAGTGTAAAGACTTCAGAACAGGACTGATCCACTTTCTTAGTGTTAGTGAGGAACCAGTGTAAGGACTTCAGAACTGGACTGATCCACTTTCTTAGTGTCAGTGAGGAACCAGTGTAAAGACTTCAGAACTGGACTGATCCACTTTCTTAGTGTCAGTGAGGAACCAGTGTAAAGACTTCAGAACAGGACTGATCCACTTTCTTAGTGTCAGTGAGGAACCAGTGTAAGGACTTCAGAACAGGACTGATCCACTTTCTTAGTGTCAGTGAGGAACCAGTGTAAAGACTTCAGAACTGGACTGATCCACTTTCTTAGTGTCAGTGAGGAACCAGTGTAAAGACTTCAGAACAGGACTGATGTGATCCACTTTCTTAGTGTCAGTGAGGAACCAGTGTAAAGACTTCAGAACAGGACTGATCCACTTTCTTAGTGTCAGTGAGGAACCAGTGTAAAGACTTCAGAACAGGACTGATCCACTTTCTGAGTGTTAGTGAGGAACCAGTGTAAAGACTTCAGAACAGGACTGATGTGATCCACTTTCTGAGTGTTAGTGAGGAACCAGTGTAAAGACTTCAGAACAGGACTGATGTGATCCACTTTCTTAGTGTCAGTGAGGAACCAGTGTAAAGACTTCAGAACAGGACTGATCCACTTTCTTAGTGTCAGTGAGGAACCAGTGTAAAGACTTCAGAACAGGACTGATGTGATCCACTTTCTTAGTGTCAGTGAGGAACCAGTGTAAAGACTTCAGAACAGGACTGATCCACTTTCTTAGTGTCAGTGAGGAACCAGTGTAAAGACTTCAGAACAGGACTGATGTGATCCACTTTCTTAGTGTCAGTGAGGAACCAGTGTAAAGACTTCAGAACAGGACTGATCCACTTTCTTAGTGTCAGTGAGGAACCAGTGTAAAGACTTCAGAACAGGACTGATGTGATCCACTTTCTTAGTGTCAGTGAGGAACCAGTGTAAAGACTTCAGAACAGGACTGATCCACTTTCTTAGTGTCAGTGAGGAACCAGTGTAAAGACTTCAGAACAGGACTGATCCACTTTCTTAGTGTCAGTGAGGAACCAGTGTAAAGACTTCAGAACAGGACTGATCCACTTTCTTAGTGTTAGTGAGGAACCAGTGTAAAGACTTCAGAACAGGACTGATCCACTTTCTTAGTGTCAGTGAGGAACCAGTGTAAAGACTTCAGAACAGGACTGATCCACTTTCTTAGTGTTAGTGAGGAACCAGTGTAAGGACTTCAGAACAGGACTGATCCACTTTCTTAGTGTTAGTGAGGAACCAGTGTAAAGACTTCAGAACAGGACTGATCCACTTTCTTAGTGTCAGTGAGGAACCAGTGTAAGGACTTCAGAACTGGACTGATCCACTTTCTTAGTGTCAGTGAGGAACCAGTGTAAAGACTTCAGAACTGGACTGATCCACTTTCTTAGTGTCAGTGAGGAACCAGTGTAAAGACTTCAGAACAGGACTGATCCACTTTCTTAGTGTCAGTGAGGAACCAGTGTAAGGACTTCAGAACAGGACTGATGTGATCCACTTTCTTAGTGTCAGTGAGGAACCAGTGTAAAGACTTCAGAACAGGACTGATCCACTTTCTTAGTGTCAGTGAGGAACCAGTGTAAAGACTTCAGAACAGGACTGATGTGATCCACTTTCTTAGTGTCAGTGAGGAACCAGTGTAAAGACTTCAGAACAGGACTGATCCACTTTCTTAGTGTTAGTGAGGAACCAGTGTAAAGACTTCAGAACAGGACTGATCCACTTTCTGAGTGTTAGTGAGGAACCAGTGTAAAGACTTCAGAACAGGACTGATCCACTTTCTTAGTGTCGGTGAGGAACCAGTGTAAAGACTTCAGAACAGGAGTGATGTGATCCACTTTCTTAGTGTCAGTGAGAACTCGAGCAGCGGCGTTCTGAATTAGCTGCAGCTTTCTAATAGATTTTTTAGTGAGACCTGTAAAGACACCATTGCAGTAGTCCAGTCTACTGAAGATAAAAGCATGGACAAGTTTTTCCAAATCCTGCTGTGACATTAGTCTTTTAATCCTAGATATGTTCTTTAGGTGATAGTAGGCTGATTTAGTAACTGTTTTAATGTGACTGTTGAAACTCAGGTCAGAGTCCATGACTACACCTAGATTTCTGGCTGTATTTGTTGTTTTGAACATTGCAGACTGAAGCTCAGCGCTAACTTTTATACGTTCTGCCTTGGCTCCCAAAAACCATTACCTCAGTTTTATCTTTGTTTAATTGGAGAAAGTTCTGACACATCCAGTCATTGATTTGTTCAATGCACTTACTCAGTGTTTGAATTGGAGCATAATCTCCTGGTGAAATTGTTACGTAAATTTGTGTGTCATCCGCATAGCTATGGTAACTTATTTTGTTGTTTTTCATGTTTTTCAAGACAGGAAGCCACCAGCCCACTTACAGTACTTTGGCAATTGGTCCTGTAAAGAATCAGAGAGCCAGATGAGGAATGGAGGGCTGAGCTGGAGCAAAGAGGGTATGGGGGAAAGAAAGGGGATGCACCTTAAAGGACCACAAAGGTGCAACTTTTTCACTTTGTTATGTTTTGCACTGTTTTTATTGTATAGTTTTATTTTACACTTTACTATACATATTGTAAGAATTGTTGTTGTTTCTTTTACTGTTGTTTTAAATATATAAATACATATAAAACAAGTATGGATGTTTCTGTTTTGAATATTTCATCATCATATTTCACTTTCATTATCAAATCAAATCAAATCAAGTTTTATTTATAAAGCACATTTAAAAGCGATTTTTAGTTGAGCCAAAGTGCTGTACATGTAATAAAAACACATTACTACAATCACAATAAAAGACAATAAATTACAACAGATATATATAAAAAAATAAATAAATTAAAAATAAATTTAAAAAAACACAAGGAAAAGTCAGGAGTCGTGCTCCGCTCTAACTAGAAGGCCAGAGAGATAATTATTGTTATATTTACTTAATGCTTTTTTCTTAAGTTTTAATACATTTATTAAAAGTTGTAATTATAATAATAAATGCACAACATAATAATAATCCTCATACATATTTGTCATATTACTTATATTCTAAGTACTATTCTATATTAAGCACATCTATAGAAGTACTGTCCAGTGATGTACTTCCTTGCATGCTCCTTAATACTTCACTACATGTCAGAGGCAAAGATCTGACTCTGAACCTCATTGATTTGAAAAAAGGAGTTACTTTGAACATTTAGATTCTGTTACAAAGTACAATAATATAAACAGACAATGAATCACGAATGATTAAGAACTGAAATGATCCATTGGTTTGATTCACAACCCAAAAGTATGGTAAAATAATAAGTGTGTTCTGACATACAAGGGATCGAGCGGGATTCGAAACCGGCTCGCAGGGCGTATTTCGGCTACTTTACGGTTATCAAAGATAAACTAATGCGCTATGTCTTTGGCGCAGTGGGTAGAGCATGAGACTCTTAATGTCAGGGTCGTGGGTTCGAGCCCCACGTCGGGCTGTAGCGTTTTAGGGTGTCTTAATACTAGATCATTCAGACGGGTTGTTTCCAAACCTTGAACCTTTCACCTCCAGGTTTGGGTCATTGAGTAAATGTGAGCACCCCAGTGAGTCAGAAGGTTGTGGGTTCAGTCCCAGCAGATACATGCTGATTTATCCTAGTGTGAATTGTGCTGCTTGTTAAATGTTATCTCACTGCTAAAGTGGAGAAGAGCTTCAAAATCAAAGATCTCCAACCTGTTAGAAATCCCATCCATTACACTCCAGATACTGAGCTGGAGGTAGAAGCAACACCTTTAATAGCAACACCATGTTTGACCTTAATAAACATTTATATCTGGCTCTTGTGTCGTGTCCTTGACCTCTCTCAGATGCCATATTCATTTGTGAAAATTAATCAGATTTCTTCCAGTGTCACTTTATATAAATGCAGTTTTCAAGATACTACTATCATATGGTCTAATGTCTGTCAGCAGTCACAACAACACTGCTAACATAGTCTTTAATGTGGATAATATTCTCATTGTAGTGGACAGCTCAAACTAAGATAAGAGACCTTTATTAGAAATTAAGGAGTGAAAATCAGGACAATTATGAGCTCTTTACGTTTATTAAAACATGAAATATACTTGACATTTCCATTACCTTGCTTTCCATACAGTTAAACAAACCACATGTGTGTATTATAATGTGTTACAGTGTGTTATAAACTATGTTCAGAACCAAATCACTCAATTTAAAGAAAGCACAGGCTGTATTTTAACATTAAAATAATGAAGGTAGAAAGCAGAAAAGCATCTCTCCTGTCCTGTAATATATCATCACACGAAACAACGTTCAGTTTGAGAGTTTCCTCTGATCTCAGACACAGAGCACGGATCCTGTTTCATTTAAAGCAAAACGAAAACATTATTTTTGAGCCAAATTAAAACTTAATTTCATAACTTTCCAAAGACACTTGGTGAAAGAATGATGAAGAAATGTGCACGAAGAAGGGGCCGGTGTATTCTGGGAAAACGTCTAAATACTACATTGTATATTATTAGAAACAACAGATTTGATCTACACTGAAAGCTGTTGATTCAAACTGAGGCCTCGTTCAGCTGCTTCACCGTCTGCAGCTTCCTCAGATCTCAGATCAGCGTCTACCGTCCATCAGGGAGCCTGAGAATCACAACAGAAGTGTTTCCTTGAAGGCAACGTTAACATGTGTATTTTTACTTTTACTCAAGTACAAGATGTGAGTACTTCTACTTTTACTCAAGTACAAGATGCGAGTACTTCTACTTTTACTCAAGTACAAGATGCGAGTACTTCTACTTTTACTCAAGTACAAGATGTGAGTACTTCTACTTTTACTCAAGTACAAGATGCGAGTACTTCTACTTTTACTCAAGTACAAGATGTGAGTACTTCTCCACCTCTGATTTAACCACAGTTTTCTAATATGTAACAGCCCAGATCTTCTTCTGACTCAGTTTATCCTGTTTCTCAGAGTAAAAGATCCTCTGTAATGTCTGCTCAGAGCCTCAGGGCAGCATGCATCAGGGCATCATGCTGCTGTGATGCATGATGCCCTGATGCATGCTGCCCTGATGCATGATGCCCTGATGCATGCTGCCCTGATGCATGATGCCCTGATGCATGCTGCCCTGATGCATGCTGCCCTGATGCATGATGCCCTGATGCATGCTGCCCTGATGCATGATGCCCTGATGCATGCTGCCCTGATGCATGCTGCCCTGATGCATGATGCCCTGATGCATGCTGCCCTGATGCATGATGCCCTGATGCATGCTGCCCTGATGCATGCTGCCCTGATGCATGCTGCCCTGATGCATGCTGCCCTGATGCATGCTGCCCTGATGCATGATGCCCTGATGCATGCTGCCCTGATGCATGCTGCCCTGATGCATGATGCCCTGATGCATGCTGCCCTGATGCATGCTGCCCTGATGCATGCTGCCCTGATGCATGATGCCCTGATGCATGCTGCCCTGATGCATGATGCCCTGATGCATGATGCCCTGATGCATGATGCCCTGATGCATGCTGGGAAACACTGTTTCTCTCCTGCTGTTATGAGAATAATTAAAGTTGAGATTTAAATGGTTTCTTCTTGTTCCCCGGTCTCCTCTTACAGAAACATTATAACCTGCAGAGGACCCTGCTTTAATGATTAGTGCTGAAGTTGCAGTTTTATATTAGTATGACTTCCTGACATTAGTATTTATCTGTCCACAAGAGGGAGCTAGATGCTCTCTAAGCCTCCCATGGATTCTCCAAGGCACTGTTCTTTTTTATTTTGCCTATATTTGTTAACATTATGGCACATTAACACCATTAACTCTTGAGCTTGTAGCTGCTCCTGTCTGCCCGTAGATGAACAGAAAACACCATTACTTCGTTTTTTGAAGTTCTGCAGTAACACGTGAGCATTTTTCTTTTGTTTCATGTTGTTTATTCCAGGTCTGGATATGAAAGTAATTGTCTTAGAAAATGTATGTGCATGTATCTGAGGTATTACAGAAAAAGTGGTGCAGCTTTTATTGTGAAATATGTTTAAAAATACCTGAGTAAAGAACCTTTCATTTCTGCCTTTACCACACACACACACACACACACACACACACACACACACACACACACACACACACACACACACACACACACACACACACACACACACACACACACACACACACACACACACACACACACACACACACACACACACACACACACACACACACACACACACAACACACACACACACACACACACACACACACACACCACACACACACACACACACACACACACACACACACACACACACACACACACTTGTTTCAGAGATAAATAGTTTTTATTTAGGCGCCTTCTCACAAATCACGACGGTTCACAGTAACTGGAAAGCTCCAGAAGCGGTGGTGAAATGAACTCATGCTATGGAATAACAAGTAGAACAAATTCAAAGCTACATTTCAGCCAAAGATAATCACCAAGACGGAGTTAATGCACGAGAGACATGCAGTCAGTAGAAATGAGAAAAACTGGAGGTGAAAGGAAGTAGTGTTTGGAAAGCTAGTCCCATTTGTGCATGTGCGTTATGGTCTGCAACAAATTCAACAAACGATGCTGTTTTTCATTCTTACCCTGTTGCTGTTTAAACCACTTAACTTCCCACGGGGATTAATAAAGGTCCATCTTATCTTATCATTGTATTGTTTGAATCCCCTCAGCTTTTGCCCCCTGTCGCAGAAGACGAGCTGCACAGCGTCGACTTCCTCAGCTCAATTTTCATCGACTGGCTCTCGGCCCGTGACTCTAATCTCGTCACCGTCGAAACGCCCAAAACCGCCTTGCTGTTCGGTTTCATACCTTTCATACACATCGGGATCCGAGTGGCCGCGCTGCGAGGAGAAATCACATCTGAAACGGGCTGGAAAAGAAGAAAAAAAACATTAAAGCGATTTTAGGAGAAGATTTGGAACAGAAATAAAAGGTAAGGTTAGCTCCGTGTTAGCATCGTTTCTGGTTAGCCTTGTTCCAGGTTTTAAGTAGTTTGTTTACATTTCCCAAACTCAGACGTTAAAAGACCTGAGTACTTCTACTTTTACTCAAGTACAAGACCTGAGTACTTCTACTTTTACTCAAGTACAGATCTGAGTACTTCTACTTTTACTCAAGTACAGATCTGAGTACTTCTACTTTTACTCAAGTACAGATCTGAGTACTTCTACTTTTACTCAAGTACAATATCTGAGTACTTCTACTTTTACTCAAGTACAAGATCTGAGTACTTCTACTTTTACTCAAGTACAAGATCTGAGTACTTCTACTTTTACTCAAGTACAAGATCTGAGTACTTCTACTTTTACTCAAGTACAATATCTGAGTACTTCTACTTTTACTCAAGTACAAGATCTGAGTACTTCTACTTTTACTCAAGTACAAGCTCTGAGTACTTCTACTTTTACTCAAGTACAAGATCTGAGTACTTCTACTTTTACTCAAGTACAAGATCTGAGTACTTCTACTTTTACTCAAGTCCAATATCTGAGTACTTCTACTTTTATTCAAGTACAAGATCTGAGTACTTCTACTTTTACTCAAGTACAAGATCTGAGTACTTCTACTTTTACTCAAGTACAAGATCTGAGTACTTCTACTTTTACTCAAGTCCAATATCTGAGTACTTCTACTTTTATTCAAGTACAAGATCTGAGTACTTCTACTTTTACTCAAGTACAGATCTGAGTACTTCTACTTTTACTCAGTACAAGATCTGAGTACTTCTACTTTTACTCAAGTACAAGATCTGAGTACTTCTACCTTTATCAAGTACAAGATCTGAGTACTTCTACTTTTACTCAAGTACAAGACCTGAGTACTTCTACTTTTACTCAAGTACAAGATCTGAGTACTTCTACTTTTACTCAAGTCCAATATCTGAGTACTTCTACTTTTATTCAAGTACAAGATCTGAGTACTTCTACTTTTACTCAAGTGCAAGATCTGAGTACTTCTACTTTTATTCAAGTACAAGATCTGAGTACTTCTACTTTTACTCAAGTACCAGATCTGAGTACTTCTACTTTTACTCAAGTACAAGATCAGAGAACCTTGAATGTCTGCCTTGACCTTATTGCTCTCCAGTCACATTCAGATGTATGCAGGACTAGTCTCACCATTGAAGGCGCTGGTCTGGGGGAAGTCGAGGAGATCGGTGTGATCGTTATGCTGCTCGTCATCTTGCTCTGAATCGTCTTCCCGACCAATGATTGTCGTGGTGAGCGCAGCACGGTTCCTGTTGACACTTCCTTACTGCTTTCTGAAGATCTGAGCGTCAAAAGTGAACTACTGCATCCCTCCGAAGGCCTCTTATACTGCGGACCCAGGTGGATGTGGATCATGTTGTCCTCCGTGGTGATGATGCTGCTGTTGGCGTTGTATTTCCTGAAAGGTAACTTGTCTGGTGTCATTTTCATCATCGTGGGTCGGCTTGCGGTCGTGTCCTTTGGCTCAGGTGCAGCACATGTTTCAGCCACAGGGATGGAGTTAACCCTTATAAAGGACACTGGCGATTTAAGTCTTTCCAAAGGACTGCAAGCATTGGACTTTTCTGGACTTTTGGCCCTGGAGATGGCCGTGATCGTGACGGGAGATTTGGCTCGATCGAAGCCTCCCAAAGGATCGCAGTCTTTGCTCTTCGAAGCCATTGTCATTGGCGTCTTTGGGACAATTGTAATGCGAGGTTTCTGGTTTCCGAGAGTTGGGATGATGGTGGTGCTGGAGAAGAAATCCTCCGCCCGGGGACTGGTTATCTCCAAGGTGGCGGTGCTGTTCAGGTGATCCGGGGTAACTCGAATATGCAATGGTTGACACGGCCTTCTCGTCTCCGGCGGATTGATCAAGGACGCCCGATTCATCTTGTCAGTCAGAGTCTGAGTGAGACTAATAGCCGCTTTCTTTTTCATCCACGGTATCCAGGATTTTTTGTCCGTCAGATCTGCGGACGCTGGAGGGAATCGCTCAAGAACTGCCGGCTTTTTTAGACCCTGTTGTCTGAGGTTGTTCATAAGGTGGTTTTCCTCGAGGACTGATTTACGGATAAATCCCGCGGCTGTGTCGTCCTCTGCTTGTTCGCCAATAATCTCATCTGTTTGCACTGCCGTGGAGGTCACCGGGACATTTACCATCCTCTTCCCGTTCATACTAGGTCTCAAGGCGCGACTATAACGCTTCGTGGCTTCCAGCTCGTTGGCAAGGTTTGCAAAATCGTAGCTCATGCTCCGCTTCTTCTCTTCCTCCTCCATGAACCTCTGCTGCAGGACAGAATAGTCCACCTGCAGCTGAGAGAGCTGGTCCTCCTTGTTCATCAGCTCGTGGATTTTCTCCTTCAAAGCCCGGACGTCAGTTTGCAGCTCTCTGGTTTTAGCTTCCTCCGACTTGCAGCGGATTCTCAGCTCAGCCTCAGGACTTGTGACCTCTCCTTTCTCGATGGCCTTGTTCCTGGCGATCTGACTTTTCATTTCTTCCAGAATCTTTGAAAGAGTGTTGGCTTTGTCCTGCTCCGTTCTGAATTTCTTCTCCAGTAGATCGTACTCGTCCTCCGTCTTCATCAAATCCCCTTCGACCACTTCAAGTTGTTTCAGCCGGCTTTTAAGTCTTTCAATTTCTATCGTGAGCTCTTTGACTTTGTTGTCTTCGTCTGGGTTGCTGTTGTAATCCTTGTGGAACGACTTCTCCTCGAGTCCGTCCATTCTTATTTTCATACCACCAAGTTTGGTATTCATCTGCTTGCACTTTTCCTCTTCACTTGCGAGTAGAGTCTTCAACTCGTCTTTCTCTTTAACGAGCATCGACACCTTGACCTCCATGTCTGATTTGAATCTGAGAAGTGTCTTGCTCTCCTCGATCAGCTTCTCTGTGACCTCTGTAACTTTGCCTTGCTCTGCTTTAAACATCTTGCTTAAATCCTCACTTTTGTGTTCTTCTTGTTTAAGTCTCTCCGCCGTATTCTTCCTGTCTTCCACCAGGATCACTGCGAAGGACTTCAACTTCATCAGATCGTCTTTCAAGAGCATCTCTGCCTTTTCAAACTTCGTCTCCGATCCCTCCAGTTCCTTCAAGCGAGTTTTCACCGTCTCCAGCTCCCCGGCCAGATCCTGCACGACACGTTTCTCTTTCTCCAGGATAGCGTGAAGCTGAGCGCACTCTGTGTTGCTTTTACAGAAAGCCCCCTCCAGTTTCTCCAGTTCAAGCATCCTTATCTGTAGTTTCTCCACCTCGAGCCTCAGCTCCTTGCTATGGTTCTCCTCTCCTTGCAGCTGTTTCCTCAGCTCCCTGCACTGAGTCTCTGTTTTGGTTATCTCCTCATCCTTGCCCTCCATCTCCAGAACTTTCTTCCGCAGATTCTCCAGTTCGGTCATGAGAGACGAATCCCCGCATTCCCCTTTGCTGATCTTCTCCCTCAGCTCCTGCAGGTCTTCTTCGGATTTCTGCAGCAACTTATTCCTCTCCTCTAACTCTTCGATCTTGTGCGCCAATCCGGCCATCTTCAATCTGAGCTGCCGGCTTTGGGACTCTTCGTTTGCCAGTTTTGCCGTCATTTCCTCGTGTTCCTGTGCACACTTAGCCGCTCTGTGCTCCAGCTCGTTCTCTAGGTTGAGGAGTTTCTGTCCGTCTTCTTTGGCAGTTTCGCTGACGGACGATAAACGCTGCTCTTTCTCCTGAAGCTTCTGAACGAACTCCTGGATCTTCTGGGTCTGTTGGTCGATTTGCTCGATGTGAAGCTGCCTCTCGTCCACCAACATCAGGGCGAAAGACTTGAGTTTCACCAGCTCCGCTCGAATTTTCTCCAGCCGCCGGTTGTGATCCGTGTCCTTACGAGCCTGATAGCCCTTCTCCTGCTCCAACAGCCTTTTGAGTCTATGAAACACACACAGGAAAACATGTTAGTGTTCATTTAATAAAACACTCGCGCTGCTATTGGCTAGCAGCTTCAACACATTGTACGTGATGGGACATCTCCAAGTGGTGCTTTTATTTGTGGTCAATAAGTAGAGTGATGAGCCGTGCAATTAACGATTAATCGGTTAACTGTTGGTCTGTAAAATGTCTGAAAATAGTACAACATTTCTCAAAGTCTAAAGTGAGTTGTGACGTGAGAGAAAGTACTGCCTTTTTGTAAAGTTATTCAGCACTTTTTATAATTGTCAACATCCAAATGTAACACTCGTGCTTCTGTTGGCTAGCGCCTCCAACACATTGTACGTGATTAGGCTAAGGGGTGGGACATCTCTAAAAGAGGTCGACCAATCACAACAGAGCCGGCCAGCTAACCAATCAGAGCAGACTGGGCTCTGGTTTCAGACAGAGGGTGAAAAGAGGTGCTGCAGCACAGGCAGTATGAGAGAAATAAAGAACTTTTTGAACATTAAAGCATGGAGACATGTAGAGACACTACATACTGATATACACCTGAACATCAGCAGGAGAGGACTCTTTAAAGTAGAGACACTACATACTGATATACACCTGAACATCAGCAGGAGAGGACTCTTTAAAGTAGAGACACTACATACTGATATACACCTGAACATCAGCAGGAGAGGACTCTTTAAAGTAGAGACACTACATACTGATATACACCTGAACATCAGCAGGAGAGGACTCTTTAAAGTAGAGACACTACATACTGATATACACCTGAACATCAGCAGGAGAGGACTCTTTAAAGTAGAGACACTACATACTGATATACACCTGAACATCAGCAGGAGAGGACTCTTTAAAGTAGAGACACTACATACTGATATACACCTGAACATCAGCAGGAGAGGACTCTTTAAAGTAGAGACACTACATACTGATATACACCTGAACATCAGCAGGAGAGGACTCTTTAAAGTAGAGACACTACATACTGATATACACCTGAACATCAGCAGGAGAGGACTCTTTAAAGTAGAGACACTACACACTGATATACACCTGAACATCAGCAGGAGAGGACTCTTTAAAGTAGAGACACTACATACTGATATACACCTGAACATCAGCAGGAGAGGACTCTTTAAAGTAGAGGACACTACATACTGATATACACCTGAACATCAGCAGGAGAGGACTCTTTAAAGTAGAGACACTACATACTGATATACACCTGAACATCAGCAGGAGAGGACTCTTTAAAGTAGAGACACTACATACTGATATACACCTGAACATCAGCAGGAGAGGACTCTTTAAAGTAGAGACACTACACACTGATATACACCTGAACATCAGCAGGAGAGGACTCTTTAAAGTAGAGACACTACACACTGATATACACCTGAACATCAGCAGGAGAGAACTCTTTAAAGTAGAGACACTACACACTGATATACACCTGAACATCAGCAGGAGAGGACTCTTTAAAGTAGAGACACTACACACTGATATACACCTGAACATCAGCAGGAGAGGACTCTTTAAAGTAGAGACACTACATACTGATATACACCTGAACATCAGCAGGAGAGGACTCTTTAAAGTAGAGACACTACATACTGATATACACCTGAACATCAGCAGGAGAGGACTCTTTAAAGTAGAGACACTACATACTGATATACACCTGAACATCAGCAGGAGAGGACTCTTTAAAGTAGAGACACATATATTTCTTGTAAAACATCTGTAAAGTAACCAAAGCTGTCAGAAACATGTTATATGTTAGTAAAAATCATTTGTTTATGAGAGTAGAAGTACAGAGTGTCATGACATTTAAACAGTGCAGTCGTTACATGAGTGCAAATTCTTCAAAACGGTTGCACCCAAAGTGCAAAAGCTTCAGCGTCCTGTGGATGTTTAACTAACCCCAGCGGGAGTCTCTAGCACGTGGCTCACATCAGGTTTCTGCACAACAAGTGTTTCTGTTCCCGACTAAACTTCTTCCCCCTGTGAAACAAACCTGTCAAACTTACCGAGCGGCGTTGAAGCAGAGCAGGTTGATCCATATCTGTTTTTAAAGCCAAAGCAGGAGATAATCTGCTTCCTCTGAGACTCCCACAGTCAGAGAGGAGGGAGTGAAAGCCATCGCACACCCAACACGAGACAATACAACAAGGTGGATGTGCTAAACAGCAGCTTTGTTCTGCTGGTGAGGTCATCCAAGCGCTCCATATATGGACTAAGAGACGCTGCCCTTGTTTGGTCACTGAGGAGGAAGAGGAGGAGGTTCTTCCTCTTTCTCACTTTCATTCAGGGTCAAGGGCATAAAACATGAAGCAAACTACAAAAATACAGACTTTGAACTGGTCAAAGTTGAGATTTCTTGGCTATTTTGCTCACATACCAGCCTTTCAGATGAGTAGAGAACATCCAACATACCAGTGATAGAAGGTAGATAAGTACATTTACTTTCTGAGGTGTTTCGATTGCCTATTCTCTTATAGTTTGGAAGCCAAAAGTGAACATTATGCTCCATTTATTTAATACTTATCCTGTCCTTTCTATATTCTGAATACGTTTGCAAAGGTGTTTGTTTATATATCATTCATAGTCCAATTTATATCGATTTCCCCCCGTAAAATAGGTCAAAACAGTTGTTTATTCATGGTTTATGACTTGATTTTCTGCTTTATGGAGTGTAAGAGAAGAATTATCTTACATCGCCTTTGACTGTAACATGTCAACAAAATCAAACAAGAACTTTGAACCTGGCTTTATCGAATATTTACCTTTTTGTCCTGGAAAATAAGGCAAAATAGCACATATTTTCCAAAACAATGCCTAATTTGCATAATTAAACATAACATTTCAGAAAACTTGTAATACAAAAACATATTGTCTTGATGTGAGATATACACTGGGGAAGTTTCAGGTTGATATCTGCTTGTTATATATTTTACCCTATCCACTATATGCCCTGTTTCCTCTGTTTCCTAAAATGTTTGCTCCAGTTTCGTCCGTCTTGCAGTTAGAAAATAGAAAAGAGGAAACTATGCACGTCAACGGTTATTGTTGTTCAGCAGACAACGGCAGCTTTCTCATTATAATCCTCTTGTATTTCGGGGGAAAAGGATATAAATCGTCCATAGTGGCTGAGTTGTGTGAGGTCATCGCTGCACACTGGTTTGTTTTGCAGAGGATCCCAAATCCCAAATTAGACAAATATGAGCGGAGCGGATCACTGCCTCGAATGCACGGTACCACCAAGAGCTCTTCCTCAGTGAAGTGTTTTGTGGCTAAAAGACGTGCACTTTAGTTTGCTGCCTGGCATTTTGGAAAGGAAATTCTTCCGGATACACGTCTCTATGAACGCTGAAGTTAACGTCCAGTGGCAAGGCTTCTGAAAACGTGAGAATAATTAAAATGACAACATGTTGAGGCCATCTGTTGTAAAAGTTAAAAAGGAGCATAGTGTGAAAATCTATTTATTTATCGAGCTAAAAAAAAAGAATGCATCTACCCACATTTAACTTAAAGGGGACCTATCATGCAAAATGCACTTGTGTACGTCTTTTCTACATGAATATGTGTCCCCGGTGTTCCAGGGGAACTCACCAAGTGTCAGAAAACACAACCCTCTCTATTTTCCTCCATACCCAAATCTCTAAAAAAGGGGCTGCAACGGATCTGATAAAAACTGATCCAGATTTGAACACTGTCCTGACGTCAGGACGGTGGCGCTACGGCTATTGGGCCAACTCCACCAATCAGGAGGAGACAGCCACGGCCATTGCCGTTCGAAAGCGCTGGAGACGCTGTAGTACATATGCCAGGCCTGTAGGTGGTGCTGTTCTCACAGAATCTGCCCTTGCAGAGCAGAGCTAAAAAAAAGTGCAAATTGAGCAAAATGAGGCATGGCTAAATGCATGATCTGTTTGGTATTTTGAAAAGAAAAAAGTATAAATATGCCTTATATAGGTATGGTCCTACACTATATTATTCAAATATAGCATGATAGGTCCACTTTAAAGTCTCACAACTTGACCTCATGGTGGAGCTAATCGCACAATGGAGAGTCACCAAAGGCATCAAGATTCATCCTCTGGGGAGCATGCATGACTTTACAAAATTCCATAGCAATCCATCCTGTAATTGTTTAGATATTTCACTAAAAACACCAAGAAAGATATTATAGTCTAGTTGCCAGTTTAGTGAACCTGGAGATGTTGAGACCCCAAAGGTTTATGATAGAAATGTAGAGTAGAGTCTCCAGAACATAGAAACTGCCGGATGCTAACCTGCATATGATGGGACATTTACACAGTTAGCATAAGTTGTGTTAATTATGTGGACAATAGTTGAAACGTGGATTGGTTGATTTGGACAGTTTTTTAGGATGTTATTGAGAATGTTGAGTCAATTTCTGACATGTTCTGACAAAAAAAATGTCAGTTTTAATCAGAAATTTGCCATATCTGAACTCTCTGTGCGCTGATTTGGAAGAATTTTGGGTCGATTTGGAAGATTTAATGGACTCTGGATCATCTGGATTGGACAGATTTCATATTTATTTGAAGATAGATTGTCCACAGTAGATTGTTCATCTTGTGCTCTCTGTATCCAAGGGTCCCAACACTACTCATGGTAGTCAAAATCAGCCCACAGAGAGTACAGATTTAGACATTTTCTTTACCTGATAATGTCAGAAATGGAAATCACGCCTAACATCACGTCTCACATCATGTCTCAAATCACGTCTCAAATCACGTCTAACATCATAACTCAAATCACGTCTCACATCACGTACAAATCACGTCTCAAATCAGGTCTAACATCACGTCTCAAATCACGTCTCAAGTCACGTCTAACATCACGTCTCAAAAATCACGTCTCACATCACGTCTCAAATCACGTCTAACATCACGTCTCACATCACGTCTCACATCACGTCTCACATCACGTCTCAAATCACGTCTCACATCACGTCTAACATCACGTCTCTTCACACTGGTATATCCACCTCTGATCACATGACACGTCCTCTGCTCTTATTGATGTCTTGTTGTTGTTCTGCTGGTGGTTTGTTTTGTATCTTGTACGGCGTCTATATAAATAAAACCTTTAGTAACTGAGTATTTGTACACTGTAGTATTACTACTTTGACTTCAGAGTACTTCTTCCCCGCTGGATAAACATCTCAAAACAGCACCATGCTACTTTCTAAACTCCACATTAGTAGTTTGATGTAAACCTAACTGTTCAGAGACTCCAGTAACCACAGCCTTTTGGCCTCTTTTGGTGCTTATCTTTGATGCTGACGCTAAACGCCTCCCTCAGGCTTCAGATCCCAGTCAGGATTTATACCATCGTCTGCTTTCAGAAACATGTCAGCTTAATTCTCTGTGATTTCCCAGTGGTGGACCAGTCTGATTCATCGCTGTCAAGGCATTTCCTGTTGACGGTAATCTCTTCGACTGCAATCAGAATATCTTGGTTGAAGGTTTAAGGCTCAGTCTTTGGGGCTCTGGGGCTATAAATAGACCTGCTTTACGCATCAACGAGGTTAAGATGACAAATCCTGAGAGCGAGGGGCTATACTGTATGTTGGGGGAATTACTGAGGATTATCACAAGCCTTTGCAATATCATAATCACAGAGGTGTTACAAGGAGACGTACCTTTACTTTACACGTCTCCTATTATACTATTTCATGAAGGATTCTCTCTGAAACAGTTTGGAGCTCAAACTCTTTCTCTCTCAGGTTTACCACAAGGTGACTTCCTTTTGATTTCCTGCTTCTTCACACATGCTCTCTCCAGTACAGGTTAGCTCTGAGTGTTAGCATGCTAATGTAAACACAGACCATATTCCAGAACACGTCTCATTGTTTCTGACAGCAACGTTTCTGATTGGCCCGTGGGTGTAAAGCCCGCCCACATTTTAGTAATGTCGTCATGACGCAGCAAATCTGGATCAGCTCCGTTGTTCCCCGTTTTTAGAGATGTGGGTACGGAGGAGAAGAGAGAGGGGTTTATTTTCGGACACTTTGAGAGTCTCCTGACACACCGGGGACACACCGGGGACACACCGGGGACACACCGGGGACACACGGGGACACACCGGGGACACACCGGGACACAACACCGGGGACACACCGGGGACACACCGGGGACACACCGGGGACACACCGGGACACACCGGGGACACACCGGGACACACGGGGGACACACGGGGGACACACGGGGGACACACGGGGGACACACGGGGGACACACGGGGGACACATGGTGATGTAGAAAAGACATCATAAAGTGCATTTTGCATGATAGGAGACCTTTAAGCGCCGCCTGAAGATCACGTTTTTTGCTTTGAGTGAAATATCTAAAAAACCACAGCCTTGAAAAAGCACAGAAATGCATTCTCTGAATCTCTGGTGATCCTCGTATATAACACACATCGTGCAGTTTTTAGTTTCCCAGGACAGGGTGGTGTGCAAACAGAGCGCCTCGTTGTGATTTCTGCTGGGAAGGCCATCATGCGGGATGCTTTCATCATGACATCACCTGCAGAGAATCTGAGCGCAGCCTGAAGGACTGTGTTATCAGAGCGGAGATAAAGAACATTAAAGCATCAACAACTACTCCAATACTCACGTACAACTTAGAGGTACTTGTACTTTGAGTATTTCCATGTTATGCTACTGTGTACTTCTACTCCACTACAGTTCAGAGGTATATGGTGTACTTTTACTCCACTACATGTACCTTTAGTTACTTTACAGATGTGGATGAATGATGTGAAATATAATCAAGTGTTAAATCAGACTTTAGTTCCACCTGGAGTAAATTCACAAGCTACCCTGCAGTATACAAGACCTGAGTACTTCTACTTTTACTCAAGTACAAGATCTGAGTACTTCTACTTTTACTCAAGTACAAGATCTGAGTACTTCTACTTTTACTCAAGTACAAGATCTGAGTACTTCTACTTTGACTCAAGTACAAGATCTGAGTACTTCTACTTTTACTCAAGTACAAGATCTGAGTACTTCTACTTTTACTCAAGTACCAGATCTGAGTACTTCTACTTTTACTCAAGTACAAGATCTGAGTACTTCTACTTTTACTCAAGTACAAGATCTGAGTACTTCTACTTTTACTCAAGTACAAGATCTGAGTACTTCTACTTTTACTCAAGTACAAGATCTGAGTACTTCTACTTTGACTCAAGTACAAGATCTGAGTACTTCTACTTTGACTCAAGTACAAGATCTGAGTACTTCTACTTTTACTCAAGTACAAGATCTGAGTACTTCTACTTTTACTCAAGTACAAGCTCTGAGTACTTCTTCTTTTACTCAAGTACAAGCTCTGAGTACTTCTTCTTTTACTAAAGTACAAGCTCTGAGTACTTCTACATGTTATAAAACATATCATATTATTCTGAAATGGACCAATCTGCAAAATGAGTATGTTTTTCATTACGTGGAAACTGACAGATATTAAAAGCCGATGCGTCAGGACTCTCTGTTCAGGGTGATTCTCTGCTATGTGTATTGATCACCTCTCCCTCTCGTGCTCCAGCAGGTTGAAGTATATTAATGTATTGATGTGTATTGATCACCTCTCCCTCTCGTGCTCCAGCAGGTTGGTGAAGTCGTCGCTCTTGCTCATGAAGTCGCTGTGTTTCAGTTTCTCGTTGTCCAGGTCTGTCACGGTGCGTCGGTGACACTTCTCTGCCATCAGGAGCTGCTCCAACATCCTCCGATACGTCTCCCTCTGTTTGTCCTCCAGACGCTCCAGCTGAGGGACGCACACTCATTATTAACACACACACTCATTATTAACACACACACTCATTATTAACACACACACTCATTATTAACACACACACTCATTATTAACACACACACTCATTATTAACACACACATCCAGAGATGGCAAAAGTACACACACCCTTTACTCAAGTAGAAGTACAGATACTCGTGTTTAAAAATGCTCTGGTGAAAGTAGAAGTACTGACTAAACTTCTTTACTCAAGTCAAAGTAAAGAGGGCTTTGAAATGTACTTCAGTAGAAAGTACCCATAACTAGCAGCTGTTTTAAAGAGTACCTGACCTCCCTTTATATTAATAGAACAATAATGTCATTGTTAGCTAATGAATGTTTCCATGCTGAACAACGGCAACATGACAACGTTTTCATTGGTCCCTCTTCTTTAGAGAAGACCAGGAAATGATGGATACACGGATCGTGTTCAAATCAATAGGCACGCAATGACTCTAAAGAATAATGATCACGCCACCAAACACACATTCAAACTAAAGGAACCAGCCTGTTTGGGAAATGTAAGAAGTAGAAAGTACAGGTATTTGGGTTCAACATGTAAGAAGTAGAAAGTACAGGTATTTGTGTTCAACATGTAAGAAGTAGAAAGTACAGGTATTTGAGTTCAACATGTAAGAAGTAGAAAGTACAGGTATTTGTGTTCAACATGTAAGAAGTAGAAAGTACAGGTATTTGAGTTCAACATGTAAGAAGTAGAAAGTACAGGTATTTGTGTTCAACATGTAAGAAGTAGAAAGTACAGGTATTTGAGTTCAACATGTAAGAAGTAGAAAGTACAGGTATTTGTGTTCAACATGTAAGAAGTAGAAAGTACAGGTATTTGTGTTCAACATGTAAGAAGTAGAAAGTACAGGTATTTGTGTTCAACATGTAAGAAGTAGAAAGTACAGGTATTTGTGTTCAACATGTAAGAAGTAGAAAGTACAGGTATTTGTGTTCAACATGTAAGAAGTAGAAAGTACAGGTATTTGTGTTCAACATGTAAGAAGTAGAAAGTACAGGTATTTGTGTTCAACATGTAAGAAGTAGAAAGTACAGGTATTTGTGTTCAACATGAAAGAAGTAGAAAGTACAGGTATTTGTGTTCAAAATGTAAGAAGTAGAAAGTACAGGTATTTGTGTTCAACATGTAAGAAGTAGAAAGTACAGGTATTTGTGTTCAACATGTAAGAAGTAGAAAGTACAGGTATTTGGGTTCAAAATGTAAGAAGTAGAAAGTACAGGTATTTGTGTTCAACATGTAAGAAGTAGAAAGTACAGGTATTTGGGTTCAACATGTAAGAAGTAGAAAGTACAGGTATTTGGGTTCAAAATGTAAGAAGTAGAAAGTACAGGTATTTGGGTTCAACATGTAAGAAGCAGAAAGTACAGGTATTTGGGTTCAAAAAGTCTTCAGAAAAATAAGTAGTGGAGTAAAGTACAGATACCAGAAAAATGTACTTACGTACGAAGTATTTGTACTACACTACTTCACACCTCTGACATATTGTACATGCCAACAAAGTGCAAAATATATATATCCTCTCTCACCTCGACCATGGGTTTCTCGTAGACGTCGTCGGTGTGTTTGTCTCTGAGAGCTGCGTCTCTCTGCAGAGCCTGAAGAGGTTTAGTCGGGACGGCTGAGGCGTAAAGAGCCTCCAGAACCTCGGGTTTAGATCTTTCTGCCTGAAGAAGAGAGATGATGTCCTCTCTGGCCTGAGGACACAAACAAACACAGAGATATTAAGGCTTTTTCATTCAAACAGGACATATAATACTCATCTTCAGGTGTATATCGTGTGTAGTGTCTCTACTTTAAAGAGTCCTCTCCTGCTGATGTTCAGGTGTATATCAGTATGTAGTGTCTCTACTTTAAAGAGTCCTCTCCTGCTGATGTTCAGGTGTATATCAGTATGTAGTGTCTCTACTTTAAAGAGTCCTCTCCTGCTGATGTTCAGGTGTATATCAGTATGTAGTGTCTCTACTTTAAAGAGTCCTCTCCTGCTGATGTTCAGGTGTATATCAGTATGTAGTGTCTCTACTTTAAAGAGTCCTCTCCTGCTGATGTTCAGGTGTATATCAGTATGTAGTGTCTCTACTTTAAAGAGTCCTCTCCTGCTGATGTTCAGGTGTATATCAGTATGTAGTGTCTCTACTTTAAAGAGTCCTCTCCTGCTAATGTTCAGGTGTATATCAGTATGTAGTGTCTCTACTTTAAAGAGTCCTCTCCTGCTGATGTTCAGGTGTATATCAGTATGTAGTGTCTCTACTTTAAAGAGTCCTCTCCTGCTGATGTTCAGGTGTATATCAGTATGTAGTGTCTCTACTTTAAAGAGTCCTCTCCTGCTGATGTTCAGGTGTATATCAGTATGTAGTGTCTCTACTTTAAAGAGTCCTCTCCTGCTGATGTTCAGGTGTATATCAGTATGTAGTGTCTCTACTTTAAAGAGTCCTCTCCTGCTGATGTTCAGGTGTATATCAGTATGTAGTGTCTCTACTTTAAAGAGTCCTCTCCTGCTGATGTTCAGGTGTATATCAGTATGTAGTGTCTCTACTTTAAAGAGTCCTCTCCTGCTAATGTTCAGGTGTATATCAGTATGTAGTGTCTCTACTTTAAAGAGTCCTCTCCTGCTGATGTTCAGGTGTATATCAGTATGTAGTGTCTCTACTTTAAAGAGTCCTCTCCTGCTGATGTTCAGGTGTATATCAGTATGTAGTGTCTCTACTTTAAAGAGTCCTCTCCTGCTGATGTTCAGGAGTATATCAGTATGTAGTGTCTCTACTTTAAAGAGTCCTCTCCTGCTGATGTTCAGGTGTATATCAGTATGTAGTGTCTCTACTTTAAAGAGTCCTCTCCTGCTGATGTTCAGGTGTATATCAGTATGTAGTGTCTCTACTTTAAAGAGTCCTCCTGCTGATGTTCAGGAGTATATCAGTATGTAGTGTCTCTACTTTAAAGAGTCCTCTCCTGCTGATGTTCAGGTGTATATCAGTATGTAGTGTCTCTACTTTAAAGAGTCCTCTCCTGCTGATGTTCAGGTGTATATCAGTATTTAGTGTCTCTACTTTAAAGAGTCTTCTCCTGCTGATGTTCAGATGTATATCAGTATGTAGTGTCTCTACTTTAAAGAGTCCTCTCCTGCTGATGTTCAGGAGTATATCAGTATGTAGTGTCTCTACTTTAAAGAGTCCTCTCCTGCTGATGTTCAGATGTATATCAGTATGTAGTGTCTCTACTTTAAAGAGTCCTCTCCTGCTGATGTTCAGGTGTATATCAGTATGTAGTGTCTCTACTTTAAAGAGTCCTCTCCTGCTGATGTTCAGGAGTATATCAGTATGTAGTGTCTCTACTTTAAAGAGTCCTCTCCTGCTGATGTTCAGGTGTATATCAGTATGTAGTGTCTCTACTTTAAAGAGTCCTCTCCTGCTGATGTTCAGGTGTATATCAGTATGTAGTGTCTCTACTTTAAAGAGTCCTCTCCTGCTGATGTTCAGGTGTATATCAGTATGTAGTGTCTCTACTTTAAAGAGTCCTCTCCTGCTGATGTTCAGGTGTATATCAGTATGTATAGTCTCTACTTTAAAGAGTCCTCTCCTGCTGATGTTCAGGTGTATATCAGTATGTAGTGTCTCTACTTTAAAGAGTCCTCTCCTGCTGATGTTCAGGTGTATATCAGTATGTAGTGTCTCTACTTTAAAGAGTCCTCTCCTGCTGATGTTCAGGTGTATATCAGTATGTATAGTCTCTACTTTAAAGAGTCCTCTCCTGCTGATGTTCAGGTGTATATCAGTATGTAGTGTCTCTACTTTAAAGAGTCCTCTCCTGCTGATGTTCAGGTGTATATCAGTATGTATAGTCTCTACTTTAAAGAGTCCTCTCCTCCTGTACAATGTGTTGGAGCGTTAGCCAATAGGAGAGTGAGTGTTCCGTGATGATGTCACTATGTTCCAGAAATATACAAAGGAGTCCAATGGAGGTGTTTCAGTCATATTATATTATTTAAAAAAAAGGACCTGCATAAAAAGTCTGGTTATCTAAGACATAATAATACAAAGACAAGATATCTAAGATAAATTACACACACACAAAATATGACCCTAAATTGAATCCCTATGAATTGCCGGAGATATTTATTTATTTCATATTTGCACAATGATTCTCTGACATCAGCCGATTGCTCAGTAAATGCTAACATGACCTGAATGTGAACTGATCAAAAATGACCTCATCGACTCCTTTCAGGTTTGCACCAGCAGAGGGAGCCGCTTCCTTCAATTTCAACTACAAACATGTCTCTTTTCACAACAAGCCTCACAAAGACTTTAGATAAACACATCTACTCAATAACTGTGTGCAAAAACTTTGGATTCTCTGCTTTAATCTGACGAACGTAGGCAGTGATATCATGTTAATTTATTCATATGAAGACAATGTTTGGGGTGAAAACATGCACCAAGAAAATCATTTATACATATCTGAGACCTGGAATATATTGATGAAATACAGTATTATAGGGGACCTTTACATTCTGTAATTACATAGTGATGAAAATGACCATACAGTCCGTTTTTAGCATTTTCATTTGAAAGCCGTCATGTGTAACAAAGCAGCCCTTCCTGTTGCTTTGTATTGTGTTATTCTCCGTCCCATCACTAATGGAAAATATTCATCCGGCCCTAACAGATGCATCAGGGTGGAAACAAAGGGAGAGGCAGCAGCATCCTGTCTCTGAGAGGACGTTATAGATGTTCCTCCATCAGACAATCATTACCAGCAGCAGCTTACACACAAGCACGCCACGGGACCCTGACCAAGCGTCGCTCCTGGACGTTTAGGGAGTGAGAGTGTGTTGGAAGGCGGCTAATGGGCTATAAAGGAACTACAGCACGGTCACATGACTTCACGTCACCACCGCTAAGCTAAAGGTGGCTAATGTTGGGCTATAAAGGAACTACAGCACGGTCACATGACTTCACGTCACCACCGCTAAGCTAAAGGAGGCTAATGTTGGGCTATAAAGGAACTACAGCACGGTCACATGACTTCACGTCACCACCGCTAAGCTGAAGGCGACTAATGTTGGGCTATAAAGGAACTACAGCACGGTCACATGACTTCACGTCACCACCGCTAAGCTAAAGGAGGCTAATGTTGGGCTATAAAGGAACTACAGCACGGTCACATGACTTCACATCACCACCGCTAAGCTAAAGGTGGCTAATGTTGGGCTATAAAGGAACTACAGCACGGTCACATGACTTCACGTCACCACCGCTAAGCTAAAGGTGGCTAATGTTGGGCTATAAAGGAACTACAGCACGGTCACATGACTTCACGTCACCACCGCTAAGCTAAAGGAAGCTAATGTTGGGCTATAAAGGAACTACAGCACGGTCACATGACTTCACGTCACCACCGCTAAGCTAAAGGAGGCTAATGTTTGGCTATAAAGGAACTACAGCACGGTCACATGACTTCACGTCACCACCGCTAAGCTAAAGGTGGCTAATGTTGGGCTATCAAGGAACTACAGCACGGTCACATGACTTCACGTCACCACCGCTAAGCTAAAGGTGGCTAATGTTGGGCTATCAAGGAACTACTGCACGGTCACATGACTTCACGTCACCACCGCTAAGCTAAAGGTGGCTAATGTTGGGCTATCAAGGAACTACAGCACGGTCACATGACTTCACGTCACCACCGCTAAGCTAAAGGTGGCTAATGTTGGGCTATAAAGGAACTACAGCACGGTCACATGACTTCACGTCACCACCGCTAAGCTAAAGGTGGCTAATGTTGGGCTATAAAGGAACTACAGCACGGGTCACATGACTTCACGTCACTACCGCTAAGCTAAAGGTGGCTAATGTTGGGCTATAAAGGAACTACAGCACGGTCACATGACTTCACGTCACCACCGCTAAGCTAAAGGTGGCTAATGTTGGGCTATAAAGGAACTACAGCACGGTCACATGACTTCACGTCACCACCACTAATCTAAAGGTGGCTAATGTTGGGCTATAAAGGAACTACAGCACGGTCACATGACTTCACGTCACCACCGCTAAGCTAAAGGCGGCTAATGTTGGGCTATAAAGGAACTACAGCACGGTCACATGACTTCACGTCACCACCGCTAAGCTAAAGTTGGCTAATGTTGGGCTATAAAGGAACTACAGCACGGTCACATGACTTCACGTCACCATCGCTAAGCTAAAGGTGGCTAATGTTGGGCTATAAAGGAACAACAGCACGGTCACATGACTTCACGTCACCACCGCTAAGCTAAAGGTGGCTAATGTTGGGCTATAAAGAAACTACAGCACGGTCACATGACTTCACGTCACCACCGCTAAGCTAAAGGTGGCTAATGTTGGGCTATGAAGGAACTACAGCACGGTCACATGACTTCACGTCACCACCGCTAAGCTAACGGCTGATTCCTACCTGAACTTCTCCCTCCATGATTCCCAGCAGGTGCAGTAACTCAGACTTCGACAGATCTCGAGCTGCCTTCTTGCTCTCTGCAGGTTTCTGAGGTTTCTGGACCTTCATCTTCCTCTTCGTGAGCTCTGGTGTGTTTTCCTCTTCCTCTTTGATGCAGACCTTCGTGGTCTGGATGTGTCCGTCATCTGGACCCTCCATGGTGCAGGTCCTGGAGCGCATTGTCTACCTGTTTAAATAGAGTAGAGGTCAATAAATGAAACAGGGATAAAAGAAAAGCCAATATTTTAAAAAGGGCAGCTGTATTTTTACACCAGGCTGATACTAGTTTTAGTGAATTTCAGGAAACTAACTGTTGGAAATGGCATGTCATTTAACACTCCAGTGATCTCTAACTAATATTTTCTTTGCTGAAAACCAACAATCCTCATTATACTATATGTTTAAACATTATCGTTAGGTCAAGTCTGAAATATTTCAATAACAACAAGGACAAACGTTTAAGCCAAGAAACAAGGGAACAGATATTTAACATCACAATCTCTGAAGACAATATGATTAAGACCCTTTTCAGCACATTTTCATTATCCTTCTCACAATATCCATATCTCCAATTATGCTTGATTTTCCAGTAACAAATCCCAAAAATGCAGCTCAAATGCACCACAAAAGCAAATTAGTAAAGGATGATAGCATGACAAGAAACCATGATGGATTAGCTTAACTAACACAGTTTTAACCTCTGCAAGTTGGATTGTATTCCCCACTGAAATGGTAAGTAGTAAGTTGTAGAAGCTAATTATTAAACATTATGAAATACACCAGGTTGATACTAGTTTTTGTGAATTTCAGGAAACTAACTGTTGGAAATGGCATGTCATTGAACACTCCAGTGATCTCCAACTAACATTTTTTTATTCTGAAATCCAACAATCCTCATTTTACGATATGATAAACCTTATTGTTTGGTCAAGTCTGAAATATGTCTTGCATCAGAGCTGCTCCATGTGCAATAACACGGCACAAGGGAACAGATATTTAACATAACAATCTCTGAAGACAATATGTTTAAAACCCTTTTCAGCACATTTGATCTTCCTTATCCTTCTCACAATGTCCATAACTCCAACTATGCTTGATTTTCCAGTAACAAATCCCCCAAAATGCAGCTCAAATGCACCACAAATTAGCAAGTGATGATAGCATGACAAGAAACCATGATGGATTAGCTTAACTAACACAATTGTAACCTCTGCAAGTTGGATTTCATTCCCTACTGAAATGGTAAGTGGTAGAAGCCAAACTAATTATGATAACATTGTGAAATATTGACATGGAGTTCCAGACAAACGGACTCGTTTTTGGATCTGAATGAAGCCAAGGTTCTGGATGAAAACAGACCGTGAGTCAACCAGAGAGAATCCTGGCAGCGATGCGGTAGCAACCTAAGCTTGTTATTAATAGTTGTTTCAGGGGAGAAGCCAAGATTTCCCACGCGTCAAAACCACAGGACTTTTTTCATTCTGACGGTGAGAACTGGAGAACTGGGAGAGAAACTAAAAGAGCTGGAGGGCAAAAAGTGAAGCCAAGAAGCAGTAGTTGCAGGATAGGGCTACAGAGTTGGAATAAGTCAATCTATCATGAATGAATGCATCTGTCATCATGTGAAGTGAGACTGTATAATCGTATGTACTGCTCATGAGCTCAGGTACACATTACAGCAACTAGGAGGTGGTAATAAGCTTGGAGAGAATCTGCAGATAACGTTAAAAGTTGTGCTTTTCTTTTAAGCTCCAGTCTTTCCCGAAGCTTTCTATACCTCCTAGAACAAGTTTTATACTAAGGAGTAATACATGTTAAGTTAAAACATGAGTTATTCCTTGTTTCAATGTTAAAAAAAATATTTTTGCACAAGCCAAGTTCCCAATAAATATGTTGAGCTCCTGTTCAGAAGATTCAATAGAAGTTTAATATCATGTTTAATTGAAGGATTTTGAAATATCTGATGTCAGAAAATACAAAACCTACTGCAGAACCTGAAATGACTTTCATCGTTTGTTGAAAAAACAATAAAAGCTTACATTCTGCAACTGAGGGTAAACAGTGAGTATAAAGTCTATAAATTCAGACGCTGGTTGCCAAGTGTTACATGAAATTGTTTTTTCAGGTGGAGATTGAACCGACATGCCATCACGGTGTCGTATAAACTCCTGTTTAAAGCAAACTGATCTGTGCAAACAGTTCACCAACTCTGATTCATGGAGTCATTTCACACAGTGACCTTATCAGAGTTTAACCATCAGGAGGAACAGTCGAGCGCTGACGACAGATTCCACTTTCAGACTCGACCGTCACTACAAAAGTCCTCTTGACCTGCAGCTAAAAGTATGTGAACATCGTGTGCTATTGGTCAACGACTTACACATGTTATCAAGCGACTAAATGGCCGTTATCATCTGTCATCTTGACCCCAGATATTTCAGACTTACTCTACCTCCTAATTGGCTGTTTGCCACTGCAAGAGGTTACTTTTTTTTTTTAAGGCAACGACCAGGCTTGGAATTTCGTTATTTGAGAGGCAAGGCCATTTGGCCTTTGGTGTCACACATTTTTTTAGGGCACAAAGGCCACATGCCAGGGCACAAAGGCCATTGAGGAGCTTACAAATAAATAACTTCACTTTCTGATAAGAAAAACACACGAATGACATGGAAAACAAATCACTTTTTTAACATCAATAATGTCAAACATTATAATAATAGGCCTATGCCTCCTTAGTATTACCGTATTTAAAATGAAATACTCTACTTTGAATAATTAGTGTTTGGTATGTTTTCTATCTACTACTTCTCCCATTCACAAATCCGAAATCAAATCTAAAATTCTATTAATATGTAACAAATATATTCCATTTCAGAGCAGAAGAAACAGCCTTCAAGGGTCAAACTCTGCACACACATCATTCAGCGGTGCACAGTGAAGCTCCAACATTCAACTGTATGAACAAGCAATACTTTGAAATGCAAAAGTCTGTGTGTGTGTGTGTGTGTGTGTGTGTACGAGAGTCTCTTTAATCAATTTGTTCAACTCGAGCGTCAAATTCGCGTGACACGTTCTCGCGATAGCCAATCAGCAGTGAGGATCTCAGCCACTGACGTTGAATCAGAAAAGCAAAACATCAGCCGTTAGCTGTTAGCACTCAGAGCTCACAGCTCCTCATATCTGTTCAGAAACTGGACAAAAGTTAAACATGTACAAAACACAGACTGTCTGTGTCATGGCGAATACAGTCGCTGCTTTATTTCTGTCTGTAGGCCGTTGTTGTGAGTGTGGACGGTCGGAGCATATACTGCGTTAGCTTAGCCTGATTGATCCGATCTCCATTCAGAAAACACGCATTTTAAAAGGTTTTTCGCCTGCCGTCTTGTCTGCAGACTTGTCAAAGCATTAATTCATGGTTTTTACTAACCGGTATCAGTATGTTGTTACTTCGGCATCATTTTGAAACGTGTATTACAATTAAATCACGGTAAAATATGTTCATTTTGTTGTAGTTGGTTTCTACCACAGTATTTACATGGATATAAGCCCCGCCCCCTCTCCAGCGCATCCTGTTTGAATGACAGGAGTAAACACAGCTGACAGCCGCGGTGAAACACATCGCGTCCGTTGTGAACGCAGCATAATGCAGTTCAGAGACCAGACCACTGCTCTGATGCTTTTAAAGCAACTTCGAGATGTTAACAGTGTGAGGGGCACAAAGGCCATGGTGGCTGTAGGACGTACAATTATTTGTGGGGCATAACGGCCAGACCGAGGGGCAGACGACGGCCATGGCCGTCATGGCGGCCGCCGTGAAATTCCAACCCTGGCGACGACCTCTAGTGGCCGTATTTATTATGACGGGGTGAAGTTTGTTGACGAAGTAAAACCAAAAGTCATCACGTTTACACACTTAATTTATGTACATATGTAACACACTTAACTTAGGTAACACGCTTAACTTACATACACATGAAACACACTTAACTTACGTACATATGTTGTCTTGTGACCATGGTGTGGATTTATAGTCTACCGTTAGCTTAATACTCAGGCGTTTGCATTAAGGCTTGAAAAATCCTCAAAGTTGCGCTAATGTCCAGGGTTGGCCTACAAAAATATGATATTGTTTCAGCTCTTTACTTAATATCAGTAATGCTAACACATGGCTGCATTAGCATGACTCAGCAGTGACTTACAGCATTGCTAACAGCGTACGTTAGCATGTTTACATACAACACTTTTATAGCATCATATTGGAGATTATAACACCAACTCTGGCCCAGTTAACGGTCCCTTCCTCTAACAGTTAATCATCCGTTCTACAGCCCACTTCACTTAAATATCCCATCTGTCCTTGGCCTCTATTTGTGAGCTGGACGCAGCTGTTTGTTTGGTGAAATTTAAAAGGGGTATTTTTAGGGTGTCCCCACTTGTGTGCGTCCAACAAGGGGGGAAACTCCAGGGATATCACTTTATGGTCCTTCAGCAATCCCACAGATGCCTGAACCTCCATTTACCCTCACAGCTGAAGCCCTCTCACTCCTGAACAACACGTCTTGTTGTCAACAAACAACGAGACGTGTGTTTATCACGTTAGCTCGACTGTTGCTAGCTGAACAAAGGTCACGTTCGGTCAACTATCAGAGAAAAGCACCAGAGCAGGAACTAATACATCCACCGGGTCACGTTCCTGTCTAGCCAGTGTTGGAAAGTAACCAAGTACATTTAGCAGAGGTGGTAGAAGTACTCAGATCTGGTACTTTAGTAAAAGTAGAAGTACTCAGATCTTGTACTTGAGTAAAAGTAGAAGTACTCAGATCTGGTACTTTAGTAAAAGTAGAAGTACTCAGATCTTGTACTTGAGTAAAAGTAGAAGTACTCAGATCTTGTACTTGAGTAAAAGTAGAAGTACTCAGGTCTTGTACTTGAGTAAAAGTAGAAGTACCAGAGTGTAGGAATACTCTGTTTCAGTAAAAGTCCTGCATTCAAAATGTTCCTCAAGTGAAAGTATAAAAGTATTCTCATCAAAATATAGTGAAAGTAGAGACAGTAAAAGTAGTCATTGTGCAGATTGGTCCATTTCAGAATAATATATATGATATGTTTTATAATGATTGATCATGAAAGTGTTCTCAAAGCTGGTAAAGGTGCAGCTAGTTTGAATGACTTTGTATACTGCAGGGT